CTCTAAAATATATATATGTGTTTGTGTGTGTGGCTGCTGCGAGTCACCCTGTAAAGCCTGAAGCAATTTAAAAGTAAGAGGTGTTGGATTGGATTTTTCAGGAGTTTTTCAGACCACATCATACGTCTTTACATATTGACGTCACATGCACAGACTCAAAAAGAAGGTTTGGCTCAACATTATACTGAAGAGATGAAGATATGATCACAATGGTAGATAATTCACTTACATCCTTGGAAGACATGTCTTTCACTAAGTTTTGATGAAGTTACCTTGCTCTTTCAACGTGCTTGCGGACAGCACACCCATTATGGGGATCTGATGCACAACTGATTATAAGGTTACAAGAAGTTCTTTCACACATTGCTTGCAATTACATGTTTTCACAGAGATCTCTAAATTCCCAAATATTACACAGTGCAGCTTTAAATGAACACACCAACATGAAATAGGGTGACTTACCACATGGACAGAAATGTACATATAGCATTTAAGTGGAGCATGCTTACTCTTTCCTGGCCCTCATGATTTAAATCAGAAAATGGTAACACAGATCAGCCAAAAAAAAGCATTGAATTCCAATCATAAATCATAAATAAATCATAAACATGGGAATAAATGCTGCGAGTAAAAGTGTGTATGTGCTGGCCGTAGTGTGTTCTCAGTGTGATCATCAGCCTCTGTAGCTTTGGGGCTCAAACATTAATTTCTCCACTGACAGCTCCAGCTCTGCTACACACCTCAGCAGGATGCGTCTGTGCTGAAGTCCCTGTAGGTAGATGGAGGTCCCCCAGGGAGGAGAGAAGTAGGCCCCTCAATGTGATTCCTCTAGAGATGGGCGGGATCAGTCCACAACTTTTACTGCAACTGCTAATTAGACTGCTGCCAAGCTGTATTTCAAACCTAGCACACTTCAGCTTTAGTCATTCAGCATACAGCCTAAACACACCAACTCTGACAAAAATGCAAAGCCAAGGAGTTTTGTTGGAGCAATTTGTGTGTGTGTGTGTGTTAATCTCTGCAAAATGTCTCTTCTTCTCTATCTCAGTCCCCCGGTGAGGTACACTTCCTCTTTCAAAGAGGATATAATGAGATATTGTAAATGCTTTCATGGTTGGGCAAAAAATATTAGCATCCTCCCCCAGGCTGACATTTGCTTTTAGTATGAATCATTCACTGTGGTTGCTCTTTTCTCTCCCTTATTATTGTTTCCTCCAAAAAAGATAAATGTTGCCAGAGCCATTATCAGGTTTAATGATGCTTTATTGGTTTTTCATGTCTGAGGAAGAACAACTCCATATTCTTATATTCTTGACAGGCTTGTTTGCCCAAAACTGTCATCAAATGTTGCATCTCCATAGAAGAATCTGAAAAGTTAATAATTCCAATATTTGATAATATTGGCCAATATGATTTAATCTATCTAATTAACTAAAATCATTTGAATCTAAAATTTAAATCTAAAACATACAGTTATTTATAATCAATATTATTAGACAGTATTGTCAATTATTAGAATTTTTATCCCCTTAAAATTGGTATTCATATTGGCTGGGCCCTGTTAGCTTTTTTTTTTGTGACATACTTTGTGTTCCTTGTGTAAATGTTAAGTTTAGGTACATTTTACATGTTTTTCTTATTTTTACCATTATGGTGGGCATTGTGTTAAAATTTACCCGCTTAACAATCTCTGTACAGGGCCTTTACGGTGAACTTTTTTATTGAAGATGTGCTTTGCTTTTTATGTTTGCCAATTGTGACATTCACCAGGAAGTGATACTTTTTCCTCTAAGTCATTCTTAGCATAGCAAAAAACTTTGTTTATTCAACACCTATTCCAGTGATTTATGATATGCTGCCAGAGCATCATTATTATGTTTAATGACAATTTTATTTCTGTTAACAAAGAGATGATTTCCACTGGCATACTGAATCCTGGCCTTCCACAGTCACTTTTTGTTAAAGATAAAGAAAGAATTAATTTGTAATTACTGAGGGGGGATGATTGCTCTTTAGAGGATGATCTGTTTCCATAAATATATATGCTAATGAGGCTACGTCAATGCGATTATGCTAGCTTCAAAACACCATGAGTTTGTCATTTGATTTCCTTCAGTTGAGGCGATGTATCCATGTGTGTCAAACTTTGTGTGTTCTTTGTAGTTGTTACAGCATCTAAAAAACTCCTTTGATTAATGGATACCATATCTGATCAGGGCTGATTACATTTATATTAATCCAGAGAAGCAACTAGTGTCTAGCTTGATAGGAAAGCCGTCCTGAATCTCCTGAGATTTCACTTCAGTTTCCTCCACAATTTCAGTCTGGCACTGACCGTATTATGGGCATTTTTTTAGCTGGACCATTCAGCATATTCTGGTGAAGTCCAAGGACTGATATTTGAAATGGACGTGGACTTTGAAGAAAAAAAAAAAACATAATAATGGAAACTCTGGAATAATGTAGATAGCTTTGAAGACAGAATACTTTATTTTGCTCCTTTTCACGAACTCGTTCATTGATGGCACCTATGTGCATAAATTTTGTCTATTTGGTCCCTGACAAACTGAATCTGGAGCACAGTGAAAGCAAAACCAGTCTTAAATAACTAGTAAATGAAAGAGAACCCTAGAAAAGTTACCCTGCATTTATGATGAAGATTGATTGGTTGTGAATCTCCTCTAATTAAAAGTAGAGATCAAATCTATAGCGTCGTGTCTGTACCATACTATACCTATTTTCCTTTTCCTCTCATGTTTAATGAAAGCGAGTTTCATTGGCATGCTTTGTGACATGGTCTGGCATCTCTGCTGTGAGTTCACATGGATGTTCTCCAAGTGCAGTATGGGAATGTAGAGCTTTTATGTGTCCTTTAGCCATTGATCTTGACAGAGAGTAGCCACAACCAGTCTCCTGTCCTTCTTCCATCTGGCTTTTTGATCAAATACAGTTATTTTGCTCTCAAAACTAGTACACTACTCGCAAAACCACTACTGCTATCCCTGTCCTTCACAGTACAGGTGATAAATAAAAAAAGGCAACATTCCCTGGGCTTCAGACTCAATGAACAAGCAGCATTGTTGCCTCAGAGTACTGGAATTTACAATAGTTGGTGACCTATGTGACAGCCATTTGATATTTCATCTACTGCCATGATGGTGTATAACTGTCAAATGCCAATAACAAAATTCTAAAATAAAATACCCACGAGTTAGCATTGTGCAAACTACATCCCTAAATCATCTCACACTTTCCACAAAACGTTATGTCAAATAAACTTTTGCAGATGGGGGAAAATCACACTGGATGCATTTATTGTGGACAAAGTTGTCTTTATTGTATTGTTTTCGTTGGGAGAGGGGCATTGCCCGCCTGCTTTTTGTGGGGGGTGCCCCTACAACTCTTCTGCAAATGTAGGCATACAAGCTTATTTTGGATGAACTTTTGTTCTTGTGATCAGTAACCTTCTGCTAAAGAATTTTTCGGTATTATACAAAGATGCAAAGAATGCGTATTTTACAGTCAGCCGTTGTATTCTTTTAGCTAATTTTGTGTACATTTTTTTTAACAAAAAGCCTTTTTTTGCAGTTACTTTGGTTTCGATAATTTTGTCAAAGATGCAAAGAATGCGTATTTTACAGTCAGCCGTTGTATTCTTTTAGCTAATTTTGTGTAAATTTTTTTTTAACAAAAAGCCTTTTTTTGCAGTTACTTGATACCTTGAGAAACTCCATTTAAATTTGCACCCACCACAAAATCTTTGTACCTCGATTTAGCATTGTTTATTTTTTATTTATTTTATTTTATAATCTGTGTGACATGTAATGTATTGCACTCTGTGTTTACCCCGACACTTTTTTGATTAATTTTTAAGAAAGTGTGATTTAATAGAACAAAATTATCTTGACATAAATAAAGTGGGTGAGTTTCTTTCTCAAAAGGTGAGTGAAATCACAAGTACAGTCACAAAGTGAGTGAACTTTCTGCTTGTACATATCGAAACAATAGCTAGCTGGCGTAGCTGATTGACGGTTACATGTAGTGCACCTGCGTTTTTCCACCTTCAGAAAAATACAGTGTGAACCCGCTCTTTATGTGGTTTCTGACGCTGTATAACGTTTCTTTGTATACAAATTGACACAATTTTGTTGTATAGTTAAAAACAGTAGTAACAGTCCTCTTGAAACATGAATTTTGTCTGTAATTTTGTCCAAAAAACATAAACTTCAGACATCAAACTTCTTAGCTGATCGACTAAATTCTGTGTTTCCGCCATCATACTAGCAGACAAAATAAACACAGCTAACATTAATTTTTCTTTAGCACACAGCTACACTTTTGCCTTTTTTTACCATTTGCCTTTGCTCAATTCTGTCTCATACACAAACACACACACGAATGCACACAAATACATAATCCACTGCTCTTCATACCCAGTGGACATGCTGTGTGAGAGACGGTGTGTGACGTTGCTGTGAACAGAGGGTAGGCTTGGTTCATTTGAGCTGCGGCCGTAGGCCTGGAGGAAAGAGGAGAGAGGCAGGTGTGAGAATAGCATCAGCATCCTGACTCTAATATAGCAGTGGCGTTCCTGCCTGGAATTAAACTTCTGATCTTCCGTGTGAAGGGCTGTAGTGTTACCCACTGTGCTCCATTCCAGTGAGGAAAAGGATGGAAATGCCCACCACTCATAACTATACATGCACTAAGTGGTGCACCAAGTGTAATAACACATTCAAATATTCAAGTAGAGGACTATTCTCTAACAGGTAATATTAAGAGCACCACATGCTCACAGACCCAAATGAAACGTAAGGTATAACAAGTAAGACGTGCAAGGGAGAAAAATGAATCTGAATTAAAAATATCATCCATGGACATGGACATTTCTGTCAGACCAAAGGGAAGTAAACAAAAAAATCCGTAGCCTGCTAAAAGGAGGTTGTTAACCCAGATAGGAGATAATCTATGGAATATTCATTGCATGATCCATGTTTCAGGTGTACATCAGGATTTTGGACAATGAGTGGAATGTGTATCGGCGCTATGCTGAGTTCAGAGTGCTGCACAATCATCTCCGTGCCAGGTTCCCTCAAGTCGACACCTTCAACTTCCCTCCCAAAAAAGCCATTGGAAACAAGGTAAGAGCACCTGCTGCCTTTTGCTGCTTCTCATTATTAAGGCTCAGCTCTCCAGACACCAGCTGGGTTAGCACCTCTGTAGTTTCATTGGAGATCTGGACCTGGGTGGAATCTCATTGAATAATTTAGTGGAGTAAATACAGTTGTTGGTCTTCACCGTGAAGGAAAGCCCTGAAGAAACTGCATCAGTATCTATTTACTTCACTAGTGCAGGGGTTTTCAGTCAAATACTTGGGGACCCCCAGCAAATCCCTATTTTTATGCTCTTCCAGCACCAAACACACATCAGCCAGGTAATCAAAAGTTGTAAAATACCCTTTAGCTGACTCAGTGTGTTGAGAAATGGGATGAAACTAAGATGTTGGGACTGGATTTAAATGCCTGTGTTGTATGAGCATTATTAGCTATTAGGACTCAAGTGTCTTATGTGTTCATCATTGAAAGGCATTAGAATTAACCTGAACCAAGAGGATATCAAGAATCTCCTAGTTTTGCTCTAATAAATTGCATGTATATGAAGAAAATGGCCTGAAACACTATGTAAGTATTCAGACATAGGGTACGTTCGATACTGACATGGAAAACAGTAATTGCATGAGGGCAGTACTTTAACTAACCTAGGTTATGGAGATGACCACATGAACCCACTGACAGTGCTATGTAGGAGTGTAGCTTGGGATCAGTGACACTGCTTATCTTTTTTCCAGTATTACTCTCTAAGCCATTTCCAGTATTACTCTATAAGCCATTTCCAGTATTACTCTCTAAGCCATTTCCTTCCTCACACCCAAACCTTTTCAGGTGTAATATTTCCCATTTTTCATCTGCCAGGTGTCTCTGCTCTGTCAGGCTGCTGTGCAGAGTGTGGGGGTAGATTGGTTAGGCAAGCTATAATCCGGCCCACTACTCCGCAGCATATCGAAGTCATCAGAAGAGCAGGGCCATACAGGCTAATGAGGCTGGCCCCTTTCGTCCCCCTCCTGGCTTTTCATTTCTCTTCTTGTTTTGTGGCTCAGTTGAGCTGGCGGACAATAATTGGCCCATCGCTCCACTTCCTCTCCCCTGCCCATGATTTTGAGCGGGTGCCAGGTGGGCCTGGCTCAACCCTTCAAAGGTAGATTTTTTTAGAGCGTGAAAGACAGAGCTGATTCACAGGGACCCAGACACATAGTGCCAGCCTGCCTCCTGCCTCAAGGACAGCCAATAAAAAGAGGTAATCGACCTGTGGGCAGCTGTGCTGAGAACTTGGAGCTACCTTTAAATCTGTTGTAAGGAACGAGTGATACAACAACCTGAAGCCATGTACTTCTTTTCACATTAACCCTCTGGTTCTGATTTTGCATATATTCTTGTTGTTTTGTTTTTTTTTTTCCCCAATTTTCTCCCAATTTAGTCGTCCGCAGTTCCACCCACTAGTTGGGACTCCCCCATCACACGATAGTAACAGCACTAGTAGGGCAAAGGTTAGCACATGTGACCTGTGAAGCCAGCCACCGCATCTTTTCGAACTGCTGCTCACGCAACGTCACTGAGAGCCAAACGCGCTCGGAGGAAAGCGGCAACCGCCAAAGCTGTTACATCAGCTAACAGACGCCTGCGCTGACTAACATTGCATTGAGTGATGGGGGAGAAGGGGGACCATCCTTCCCACCCAGACAGCAAGGCCACTTGTGCTGTCTTGGGCTCCCAGCAATGGATGGCTGTAGCATCACCGATCAAACTCGCGATTTCCCAATGATAGGGCCAACGGTTAGACGGTTATGCCACTTGAGAGCCCAGATTTTTGCACATGTTCTTAAATTTACCAATAAAGGCACTTGCATACGACATAATACCCACATATTACATGTCATATCAAAATGTTCAGTACAGTCTCTGCGCTCTCTATAATAAGACCCTTTTCACCTGGAGCACTGTGTAAAGAGATAATTGGGCCCAAAAACTGAAAAATCGAACTTTTTGAATTTTAGAAATTCTTTATATCGTTTGTGGAAAACATAGCTTTACTCATGCCGACAAATTGTTTTGGTGCATAAAATGAGTATACCAAAGTCTTAGGTTCACAAAAGTAGTGAAATGTATGAATAAAATGGTAGATAAATTATATTGTCATCGCTGTTTTCCAAAACCGCTGCAGCAACTTCAGCGACTGCAAACGTTTTCCACACCACTTGCACCTGTAGTGATTGCCTGAGTGTCCATTGGTCAGTTTCATGCAAAATATAGGCAGACACACAAATCCACGAATTACAGGCGAGAGGCAGATGAGACACAAAGATTCACCAGTTACACACGGTGAGAGGCAGATGACGTGTGACTTAACTTGTCTTCACTGGTTCATAACTCCACATGTGAGTCATGTACGTTCTCGCAATGTGATGGAATAGAAAGGCCAGACTCTACATATCCTGGAACTGTTTGAACCGTGTTTCTACACAGTATTATCACAAAGATATTAATTGAAACACAGAGAAACATCTAATTTGATGCAATGGTGGATTTGTCAACCCCAGATGGTTAAAAGTAGGTCTTAGCTCTTTGCACTTAAAGTATTATCACTCAGGATGGAGTATTACTGAGTCAATTAGCACAGAATTTTGTGGCACAGTAAAGTTTTTCTGTTTTTTCTTGAGGTTCCTTTATTTAATGATGACACGTTGTTGTATGATGACCTCTCAGTAAAGTACCTGATCTTGATAGTGGCTTAGTTTTACTGACGCAAAAAAGGCTCTCACGCTAAGCAGAAAGCCTCTCTGTTCTTGGCCTTTTATTGCAGAAGAGCTTGTCTCCAAAAGAACTGCTTGTCTCCAAAGTGTTGGCAGGAACTTTGACGTGCAAATCTAACTGGAGTGTAGAAGCCCTTAGGGCTCTGTTAGAACAAGGAAGCAGGAGAGAAAGAAAGAGCAAGAGAGAGAGGCAGAGGGAGACCCCTTACCATGTAATAAGCACAGCACTAGCAGTTTGAGGGCGACAAGGTTTTTTTGTTGTTTGTTATCGTTGAGACCACTGAGATTAGCTGTTATGTTGTTTTAATCCCATTATTGTTTTCTGTGATTGGCTTTTGTTATCAGCAGCGGTTTGTTAAATCCTTCTCCTCTAGGTAATGTGCTGTGCTGCACACGCCTCTTCTTCTATCAGATCATCCTTGTATAAAAGAGCTTGATATACTCTCTGTGGCTCTGTTCTGTTTGTTGCAGAGATATAGATGAAGTTAGACCTATTTGTCCATTTGAAATTGCAGTGTCATCCCAAAGATGCTTGATAGGACTGAGATCTGTTGACTGTGCAGGCCACTGAAGCAATGAAAACTGCCTGTTGTTCCTTTAACTACTCAGTGAAAAGAAGTGCCTAGTGACGTGATGTTTTATCATGCTGTAGTGTAGATTAACTGTAGCCATGAAGGAATTAATTTCGTCAGCGGCAATGTTCAGATATGCTGTGCCCTTCAGATGTTCTTTGATTGGTATCAGGGGCACTAATGTGTACCAACAGAACATACACCTTCCCACTCCATCACAACCAAACAGGGTTTGTGGCAGTTTCTGATCCTTCCATCAGCATGGCTTCATCCAACCAGGCAATTTTGTCCACTCCTTAAAGGTCCAGTGTTGAATTTAGATGTGCTATGCCTGGTTGTAGACTGTTTTTTTTACTTGCATGACTCTTATCATTCTCTTCAGACTCATCTGATGTACAAGCTGTTTGCGTCCACAGGGTCACGGATCGCTGGCAGTTTTTGGTTTTCAAACCATTTTTGGTCAAATGGTCTGCTGTGTGTGAAAAGCTTAGGACAAAAAGTCCAGTGCCTAGTCCAGTGCTAACTATTGCTAGAAAAGCTGGCCTGCCTTGTTTAGACATTAATCATGAGCATGTAACATAAGACTTATTGGAATGTACAATCTCCATGAAAGTAGGGGTTGTACCTTATAAACTGACAACTCTGTGTATATAATTCATTTGCCAGCATTCATTTTTCTTGCACTTTTTGCAGTGTGTGCTGTTAATGGACTGGCATTTCTGCCTCTGTGAGTATATCATCATGTCTTAATCAGTAATCAGATGTGTCTCTCAGCATGATCGTTATGCCTGACTCCTCAATATCAGGTATGGTATCCTTTAATGATGAAGGAATGCAAACAGAGGTTCAAATGAGGAGCTTTTCTGGACCCTTTTAAATGTTTGCACTACGGGGCTGTCACATATGATCGTCTTCTGAAAGCATCATTGCCCTTCTCATCATGCAGCTCCAGACAGACCAACTAAAGTAATTACCACCCCAGACCTCACCTCTGCCAAACTAAAGTACACAGCGCGCTACGCAACTGTTCAGCTACTGTTTATTTCTGCCATATTTCTCCAGTTTTGGCTTTCACTTCATATTATGAAGCAGCAAAGGTAATACAACAACCTGTAATTGAGTTTTTCCTTGTTAGCTATTTTCCCCCTTTCCTTTCAATTTATTCTCAGCCTGTTGGCAGTGTTATAGGTCTTAAAAGTGCTCTGTAATTCTTTGTTACAGTCACATGCACACAGCTATTTCTACAGATTGCTATACAGGGGTCAGTATGGCTTGATTTGGTGCACCTTAAAAGAAAAAAACAATTGTTGCACCCTCACTCTCAGAATGCAAGGTTTAATTCATGATGCATGCACAATGTACGATAAATGTCAAAATAGCAGTAGTTTATAGTAAATAAATAAAGTAAATAAAAAATCTCAGTGTAGTACACATGACACTTTTTAGAGTTAACATGCTGCTGGAGTTACCTGCACAGCTCAGGGAAGGCAGAGGAAATCCCACTGCAGTTCTTGTGAATGAGCTGGAGAAGCTGTGTGTTTTGGGGCTGTTCCTCGAATAGGAGTGTCTTCTGTGAGGGAATCTGTGACCCACTGCTGCTGGTCTCCTTGCGTCCCACACCCCCACTCCCCCATCTGTTCAGGGCATGTCAGGCCCCTCTACACATAGCTGTTTTGACAGCTCCTCAGCAGCTGATTTGTCA